GGCATCAGCGACAGTCGATTAAAAAAAAAAAAGAGAGAACCGGAAGAGAGGAGATTTGTAGAGCGACATATCGCGAATAAGTAAATCCGGCGGACCGATTAAACAGCGTCGTTGCGAGGACGAACGAGAAACGAGAGGAGAGCTTACGAGAGAACGAAGATAGTACGCTTTAGGGAGAAAGGAGCGAGTACACGCTGAGAAGAGCGACGAGAGGAGGACAGCAGGGACCGGTCCCGGAAGTGGAAGGGCAGAGGTCGGCGGGGAGGTAGAAAAAGGGGTGCGAGTGGACGAGGACGACGAAGGACGCAAGGACAGCAGCTGCGTAAGGCGCGAACGGCGGTGGTTGCACTGAAAAGTAGCGGCGTGGTGTCATGAGAGGCGGTCTCACGATCCGCCCTTCTTATCGGTCCCTCCAAGAGTCATGCATGTCGCGCCCCTCAAACGAGGTAAGCGCGTAATTGCTGGAGCAATCCTCCTTGCTTGTGATGATAAGGATGCCGGTCGCATTAGATCGTCGCTATAATCGTCGATTTACCTGGCTCTGCAATTCCGGTTTTTGACATAATAGAAAGTCGGCCTAAATCAATTAATTAATAAATCAGTCCGTGTGTGAAGATGAGAATTCTTAAAACTTTAAAAAGGAATTTCATTAAATTTTCTCTTCATATTTTCCCGTCTTCGTGGACAAACCTACGATGCGATCAGATCTCTTTTGATATACAAGAAAAGTAGAGTTCTAGTTTCGTTGAACTTGTTATTCACTGGGTTTTTATATTTCTTTCGTCCTGAGTAAGAATTTGAGAACTTCTGCATAAAGATGGTTCCGTGAAAAAAAAAAATGATCTCCAATTCCTTAAAAAGCGAGATCATTGCGCCTCAAACCAATCGCGATTAACAGTCTCGTATCTCGCCGGTGTACACGCGATACGCCCACGTTTGTTTGTTTGCAATGAAAACAACTGGCGCGCTTCTCACTACGTAATCGCATTAATCTTTCAGAGAAAAAACCGCTAAAGCACTTAAGAGTAATAAAATTTCTAATGCGATTAAATAATCTCCGTCCGCGCGTGGCGTACGATTCGCTATAATATTATTTCCGAAATAAAAGCAAAGAAAAAATTTCTTTTACAAATTAATCAGTGTTATCAATGAGAAATCGACTTTAGATATTAATAGAAAATGGATACTTAAATAAAGTATCGCTTAATTGTTAATTATCGTTTACGTAATATCTGCCAATTTTTTTACTTACAACCTTAAGCTTTTATAGTGCCTCTCGATTTCAGATAAAAATAGTTTAACAAAATTATTAATGGAATAGTGTGAGCATTTGATACATTACTATTAGAAATTATCTAATTTTTTTCTGGTTGAGACAAATTTATTATTAGTTCCTCTGAGAAAAAGTCCTGGTTGTACCAACAAGTATTAACAAAATCATCATATCGATCAGAATTCTGATTATCATAATTGAATTTCTGATTGTCGCAACTAGAATATTTGATAGATTTAACTATAAATGTCTGAGCTATACTTTTATGATTGAATCTACCATTCATTCTTGGAATTTCAATTAATGCAATTAGACTTTTTTTAGTGTAATATGTAAATAAATTTAAAGGACTATATGCAAGACTCTCGAAAAAGCGAAAATTAAAATTGCAAAAAGACTGATGAGAGTGTAGCGGTAATTAGTGCGCAATTTAACAAATCAATAAAAAGTATATTTAGATTTACATTACTTTATTGTTCGTTACGGCTCAATTTCACTGAAGCCGAATGTTCAAACAATAAAATAAATCTAAATATAATTTTTATCGATTGTTAAATTGCGTCAATTATCGCGCTGTACTCTCATCAGCCCTTATACAATTTTAAATAAATTAATTAACAAATTAATTGTTATAAATTTTCAATCAACCATTTATCGTTTCAGCAAAAGAAGAAGGGCGCAATTAACCCTCATCTATATTCTTTTTTCTCAGCGATAAAAGTAACTTTTACTGGTACAATTTGTTTTAAAAAAGTTATATATAAAAAACCGAAGTATTTCTTGTTAATAAAATATGATAAACGAACAAAATGAATAAAACAGCAAGCCTGTTCCGTATTTAAAAGCCGATAACAATCGCGCGGCTGAGTTTGCTTCCTTTAGCTAAAAATAGCGCTGGAAAATGAAAATATCCTTACAAGAATATTTTATTAGGTCTAGAATATCTTAGGAGTATCTATCTCGATGAAAACAATATCATCTCGAACTATATATGCATGTATATATGTATTCTGAGTGTACTGCTTGTCATACGCGCTGACGTCATTCTGCAAACATAATAATCTAGTCTATTAGTGCAATGAAAAGAAGGAGGGGAAGGAAAGTGCGCTTGCACTCTTGAGGAGTTACAAGAAAGAAGAAAAAAATTTAATTAAAAAATAGCTCCATCATTCAAGAGTATCTATATTTTCTCGCTAGTTCGACATCTCAAGCGCAAAGTAAACAATTCCTATCAACGCTACTGACGTCGATATCGAGTATCGATGACGTTTCATGGCTGCAACTAACATTAAGAGGCATTAGACGTACTCGTATTAATTATGAAACATGAGGAGTAGTTGAAGGCCGGCGAGAAACATGTGAACGTTTCTTTTCAGGGTGTAATCGATGAAAAACGATAACTTCGCATAAACGGTACACCCTTACAAAAATGAAAAAAAGTTGCAAATTTAATACGACTGTCCTCTGAAAGACAGAAATATTTGATTTTTTTATGGAAAGATGTTTGCGATTTAATATTTTTTTTACTTAAGAGAAAACTATTGGAGGCTCTGATAAAGATTCTGTCCGTATAAAAATCTAATACTGACCAATTTAATACTGAAAGACAATAATTAATTTCTTATTTTAAATATTAAAAGCACCGTTGTTCACAGCTTTTAGTACTCCAAATAAGTAATTAATTAACTGTCTTTTAGTAATAAATTGGTTAGTGTTAGATTTCTGTCAAAGTGATAAAACTTATAACAACAGCAAGAAAAATTCAGAGAACGAAATCTTTCCTTTTCACAGCCTTTAGCTATTTGGTGGGATAATAAATAATTTCGAGACACCCGATGTGCCCACAATTGAAGGCAACGAATGTTTCGCGTCACAAATGCACTCGAATGAGTTAACAAGTTACGAAAAACCTGTTGGTCGCGTCCTCGTGGTCGAGCATAGTGTGCCAAAAAGATGTGTATCCACTGGTTACTCTCTCAATCGCTCAAGTCGCGAAATGTGCTAATTATAAACAACTCGCTGTCGAGCTTCTTATTCTCTTTGTCAATGAAAAACGAGTTTTGCTAAGTATGCCTCGATGAATTTGTGTCAATCATTTTTATAGATGTGGCACTGCGTGAAACCGCATATTGCGTAATCCTGCGCTTGAATTCCATATTTATTGTTAGCTAAGGACATGCTTAGATAAAATTTAAAATCAGCAATAACCGACAATAACTCGAATATTAACGATAACAACAATTATAATAAGAAATAATTAAAACTGAAATATGTCATCGGTTATAATGAGTTTGTCACTTATTAATAAAAAATGGTGATGTCTTTTATTTATTTCATGAATTAACGGAATTTTGTTTCTTTTAATAGGAATTCATTGATTATAAATAAAGTTTTTTGAAATTAATTGCATTAATTTTAATCGCATGGCAAAGCTAGCTTTTAATATTGTTCCCATTTTGTTTTATTTAAATTATTAATGAACAGGTTTATAAAGATTATTATGTAAATATTATATATGTATATAATTATGTACATATATAAACATATGTATAATTAAATAG